AGGAAAGCCGCGGTGTGGTGTGGCGCGGCGCTCGCTCTCTCCCTCGCTCGCTCGCTCGCTCGCGCTCTCCCCCTTCCACCCCCTCCCCTCCCTTCTCTCTCCCCCTCCCCACCCTCGCCGACTGCCTTCCCCCCCCCCCAGCCACCCACCGGCCGCTCACTTTTGGTTTCTCTTTCGGGGCATCGTCGCCGAGGCTTCACTCCCCGACCCCGAGCGCGCGAGCTGTCACGGCGTCTGTGAGTGAGAGGACGGCGGCGGCGGCGGCGGCGGCTGTGGTGGCGGTTCTGGTGACAGTGACAGGCTGAGCTCCCTCCCCCCACGCTCTCTCCATCCCTCCCTCCCTCCCTCCCTCTCCCTCTCTCCATCCCTCCCTCCATCCCTCCCTTCCTCTCCCTCTCTCCATCCCTCCCTCCTTCAGGGGGTGGAGGGAAAGGGAAGAAGCGACCGCTGAACTTGGGAACCTTGAAGTCTTCTTCTCTCTCACACTCGCTCGCTCCCTCTCTCCCTCCCTCCCTCTCCCTCCCTCTCTCTCTCTCTCTCTCGTTTTAACCCGGCTTTTTTATACACAGACAGACAGATATAAAAAAAATATATTAATATATACATTCATATTTATATGAAGAGAGAGAGAGGGAGGGAGGGAGGGGGGGACGGTGGAGGGGGTGGGGGGGGGGGGCAAGGAGACCTCGTTCGTTCGTTCAGGCTTTCGTTCGTTCGGTATCCCCATCGCCCTCCCTCCCTCCCTCCCTCCCCCCTCTCCCTCCCCTCTCCCCCCTCTCCCCCTCCCTCTCTCTCTCTCTCCGGTTCCTCATCCCTTTTCCCCTGACGGCCCCCTGGGAGCGGCCCCGGCTCGAACGCCTCCCTTTCAGACAAGGTTAGTGCTGTTCCTTACCCCCCCACCCCACTTCCACTCTTTACCTCACTCTTCTTTCCTCCCCTTTCCCCCTCTCTTCTGCTCCTTTTGCCCTCTTTCCCTCTCTTCTCTTTTCCTCTCCTTCCCTCCGCGCCCCTCCTTCCCTCCCCCTTCCACTCTTTCCCTCACCCTCTTTTCTCCCTTCCCCTCTCCCCTTTTCCTCTCCTCTCTGCTTCCATTCCCTTCTCTTCCTCCCTGCCCCATCTTCTTCATCTCTTTCTCCCCTCTCTTCCCCCCTCTTCTCCCCTTCCCCTCTCTTCCCCCTTTCTCCTCTCTCCCCTCTTCCCCCCCCTTCTCCCCTCTTCCCCCCTTCTCCTCTTCCCCCTTCTCTCTTCCCCCTTCTCCTCTTCCCCCCTTCTCCTCTCTTCCCCCTTCCCTCTCTTCCCCTTCCTCTATCCCCTCTCTTCCCCCTTCTCCTCTATCCCCTCTTCCCCCCTTCTCTCTATCCCTCTCTTCCCCCCCTTCTCTATCCTCTCTTCCACCCCTTCCCCCTCTCTTCCATCCCCTTCCCCCTCTCTTCCCCCCCTTCCCCCTCTCTTCCCCCCTTCCCCCTCTCTTCCCCCTCTCTTCCCCCTTCACCCTCTCTTCCCCCCCTTCCCCTCGCTTCCTTTCCCTCCTCTCTTCCTTTCCCTCTATTCCTCACATCCCCTCCCTTTCTCCCATCCTTTCTTTTCCTCCCTCTTTTTACCCCTTCTCCCCCGTTCCCCAGTGCCGATGCGCAGCTCATTTCCAGAGCCATCTCTCCTCCCTCTGTTCTGCTATTTTCTTTCACACTCTCTTTCTCTCCTCCCCCAGTTTTTAGATGTCGTCTTTCTCTTTTTTTCTCTTTCACTTCCACATTCCCTCCTGCCTGCCTCACTGTGAGCCGTCTGATAGATGGCGTCTGAGAGAAAGAGAGAAGAGAAGGGGGGGGTGGATGTGAAGAAAGAGAGAGAGAAGAGAAAGAAAGGGGGTGGTTGTGAGATAGCGAGAGAGGGGAAATAGAAGGGGGTGGTTGAGTGAGGGGGGTGTGAGAGACCAGATGTTGTCTTGAAGAATTGTTTACCGGAAGGAGTAAACTTCTGAGAACTCAATTTTATGGGTGTGAAGAGGAATGTGACACATACGAAAAGGAAATTAATTCTGCTGACCTTAAAATTGTTATCCCCCCTCCCAAGTTGCTTTGAAATTTTTTGTTCTGAGCTCCTTGAAAGATCCTTTCAGGACATGTTGCTCAGAAATGAGCTTTCAATGTTTTTTTTATTTTTTAAAAAAACCCTATCTCCTATTTGTCATAAAATAGTTTTTTTATTAAAATGTTTTCTTTCCAAATTTCTTTTGTGTGCACTGTATGCAAGCTGTCTGCATTCTCCCTTTTCAAAGCTTTCATTCACTCCCTTTCTGCAGTTCTTTCTCTTTTGTTTCCTTTCTCTTTTCTTTCCCTTTCTCTATTCAGGCTTTTTTTCCCCCCTGAATAATGTTGGGATTTTGGGGAGGGGGAGGGTTGTACTTAAATTGCTGCAGGAACTAGAAAGAGTTGTTCTGTTCACATAAAAGGCTGACAATGGAAACTTGAGGAGTTTTAATAAATTGTTTGCTTTTATATTAGTAGTACAGTTTGTGCAGTACCTTTACGTTTTTTTAACATACTTAAATACTATTAGAATACATCTGTCAAATGGAAATGAGTAATGTTCTTTCAGGAATTGTGTTAGTTTGGTTTTGAAGCTAGTCAGTCAACGTGTCTACAAACTTTAAATGGGCAATGTTGATGGTCTATAACTTAAATTGTTTCACCCATTTAGATATAATGTATGAAACTTTTCTGGTTCAGAAGTATTTATGAATACATTTATTATGCTGCTGAATTAAGGATGAGGTGAGAGACCTTGACTGGCCTGTCTTACGTTCCTGCCACAGTTCACATTTTTTTTTTCTCTCTTTCCAAAGAGGTTCTTCCTTGTCTTTTTGAACCAACATTGAATTCTAACTCTTGAATAGTGGAGTCCTGGTCATAACCCGTTGCAAGAAAATACTATATTATGAAGCCTATCAAGAAATGCTCATCGGGATTGTATCATCCTTTCACAATCATTCATATCCTGAATCCCAACAGAATGCTTGAGTATGCAAACTATTCTGAGATTTCCAACTATGTATAGCAGCTGTACATCGAAATTTCCTCATGTCTGGAATAGAATGCGCACTGTTTTCCAGAAGGGATGCAACCTGTTTACTTAATTCTGGAGAGTATTAGTTTCAGGTTGGCAAGAGCCCAGGCATAGGGACCCCAGAGTATACAATTGGGTATTACTGAAGTTTAATCAGCTAAAACTCCATAGCTTACTGTTAAAAATACTGTCTGGCAAGCTTCCTACTGCTTGTCAAGGTTGGACCACTCTACAATACAATACTACATTTGTACAGCGCCTTGCACGTCGGGAGGATGTCCCAAGGTGCTGGGACGTCCTGTTAAGACTTTAGCGTTCAGGGTTAATATAAGCCAAGTTTGAAGAATCCCTGCTCCCTATAAGTTAATGGATGGTTGCTTGTACATGCCAGGGTTTTGACAACAGATAAGGTTGAAATAAAGGATAAAATCACAGCTCAAATCCTTTTGATTGGACCACAATCCTTGTATCATACAGTTGGAGACTGTAAGTATAAATTTTGAATGGAGAGGGAGAAAAAAATGACATGAACTTTGAAAGCATCTTCTCTTCTACCCCTTGCCCAATGTATGATAAGTAAATTATTTTGGTATTTTCCCAACATGAATGGTGTCACAAAAATGCAAGTTGTTGTTATTGGTATGGGCAAATGTCAGTGGAATTGCAGCATACATATTTTGTCTCATCACAAAATAATTTTGATAACATTCTATTTGTACGTTTTTTTACTGGGGTGTCTAATTTTTTAGAATAGGTGGTCCCTGTGAATAAAAAGGAATGCTCCACAGGGATTCCTTTTAGCTTATGGGATAGCTATCCCATAATCTTTGGGTTAGTGTTTGTTCTCATTTAAGATAAGCATGTCTGCATTTTGTTTCTATTTCTATTTGGTCCTTTTTAAGGCAGTAGTTGGTATGATTGTACGACTTTGAGGTGTACTTGTCGATTTATAGGTCATTGTTTGGATACTCTTATTAAGGTAAATTACCAAAATGTTTGATACATATGGTATTGCCCATCTATGACCCTATCTACTCCCAGTTGCCCTTGAAGCCCTCATCCATGCCTTTGTCACCTCTCGATTTCACTTCTCAAACATACTTTTCGCTGGTCTTCCCAGTTATACCATCGACAAGGTCCAGCTCATCCAAAACTCCTTTGATCACATCCTTATACAAAATGCCACAAACCCATCACTCCAATCTTTGCCAGACTCTACTGTCTTCCTGTCTCCAAAAGCATTGATTTTAAGATTCTCAGCCTTGTATACAAATATCTTCATACCCTGGCACCTCCCTACCTGACCTGCCCGACCCCCTTCACTCAACTAACACAAGCCTGCATAGACCTGATTCCTGCAGGTCACCATTGGTGGCCGTTCCTTCATTAGTTACCTAATCTTTGGAACTCACTGGCTCAATCCTTCTGCCTCAACCCTTCTCTATTGATCTTTATTTGCTGCCTTAAGACCTACCTCCTTGACCATACCTATGATCACTCCCGCTCCCCTTTTCCTTTGCTCAGCATCCAAATCCGCCACTGCATCGCTCCTAGAAGTAATTCTGTGTGAAGGATGCTGTCCTGCAGCTTAGTGGTTAGAACACTTTCATCGCAAGTGAGAGGACCTGGGTTTGATTCCTGGGAAGGGCAAAACATTTGGCAAGTTTCCTTACTCCACACGCATCTGTTTACCAAGCAGTAAGTAGGAACTTGGTTGTTAGTCGATTAGCAGATTGCTTTTCTGGGGGTAAAAATCCCTCAAAAAAAAAGGTCACTCAATCCACGTCTATTTGTGGGACACTGCTGTGCGCAATTGGCTGCCGCATTTCGCCCACAAAATATATAGTCAATCAACTTTACAGTATATTCTGTGAAGCGCTTTAAGACAACAACAACAACTTGTTGAACAACAACGTCTTGAAGACGTGATTAGGCGCTAAATCAAATGCAAGGATTATTATTGTTATTATATAAATGCAATTAGAAAAAGTTACAACTGAATAATGGCAGTGAAATATAAGGAAGACCCAAGTATTCCACGAATGGGATAGAATTAGCCAAAGAAGTTGAAAGTCACCTAAGGCTTATTTGGTCACGATGCCACAAACCAAGGTGTATTTCCATTAGAAAAAGAACAGCAGAGAGCAAGAAGATTGATCTAAAATTTAAGTGGATGTAGTACAAAGCTTGTAAGTTTGAATACTTTTAACATATGATATAGCAAATATACTATATTTAGCATTACTTCAAAGCAGGGACAGAGGATCTTAGTAACTTTTTGTTTACCATTTTTATTGTTTAATATAATAAAGAGTAATGAAGAACAGTAATAAATTGAACATTGAAACCCGGTGTTGCATTACCATTCTGGAAGATTATTCAAAACTATTGCAAGTGAGCTGCTTTACTTTCATAAATTTTTAATCAATGTGAGAAAAAAAGCTCTATTTAAGAGTAGTTTTGAATAATCTTCCAGTAGAGGGGAAAACATTGCAATTATTCAGAATACAAATAGATACTATAACGTATTCAAGGAATGAGCTTTGGCAGTGTCATCTTGATTCCTTATACATTTATGAGATGAATTGGTAGCTTTGGATTCTATCCTCCTCCTCTCCCTCTCCCGCACCCCCCCAAAAAAGAAAAAACCCTCAATTTGGAGCTTCCTCACAGCAGTAACAAAAAGTTGTTGCCCACCTGCAGCAAACTGATGAGCTCTTTCATTGATATGTTTCAGGGTACAGACACAGTAGGCTTGTTATGCCTGCTACAAGACTCGACGGTGCACAATTGGAGAGATTGAAGTAGCTCACCAAATTGAGGCTGTACTGCGCTAAAACGTTTGTTTCTTATTGTATGGCCTGAAAAATTATGTTCGGATAGCAGATTAATGCCATCTGTGTATCTTACAAATGCTAGTCTGTGAATTGTTCATTTACTCAACCTCATTTACTGCTCTGCTCCACCTCATGTGCTGCTCTAACTAGTGTGAATATCTTACATCATGTTTCACATAAGATATCCATCTCCATTTATGTGTACTGTTCATATTTCTCCAGCTGTTTGCCCATATTTGGAATATGTGCAATGCTTGAGAGTAAGGAAGCGTTGATTTAAAATGTAAGAAAATTGCACTATGACTACAGAAACGTAACTTCCTAACAAAATAAGAGGAAGTGTAAATTCAAAAGCGGTTCCCCTTAAAACCTTTAGGTTTTAGTAAAAACTGTCTTGAGGGGAATTTTGTAATTTTTTAAAAAAAATTAAACTAACTTGAAACAGCATCTGCATAGTTTCCGATTAAGAATTTGTTTCCCCACCCCTGAAGCATGTGCATTTTTGTCCTCGTCTTTTCTCTTTATTTTTGTAATTCTCCTCCATTAAATTTGGTAAAGAGAACCCCAAAATGTTTTTCTAATTTTGGCTTTTGTGAGGATAACTAGACTTTTTTCCCCCAAGCAGGCTAGTTTTTTTAAAAAAAACTAGCTTTTATCTAGTTTTTGGGTGGAGTGGAATACAAACTAATGTTACTGTTTTACCAACTCTAAATTCATTTATGGTAAAAAAAATCTTCACCCCACACACCCCAGTAGTATATCATTTAAAGTATGTGTTGAGTAGCTTGTATAGTGGGATCAGAGTGCACAGATTTATCTAGGATCATCATTGGTTCTATTCAGAAACCTTCTGAATGGTGTTCTTTGCTGCAAGCCAACTAGAGTTAAGCTTGTTACATAATCATGACTGTTTTTGTTCATGTTCTTTTTCAAATGAGACTCTTCGCTTTGCAGGGCATTCTAGCAAATAGGACAGGCAGGAATTGACAATTTGGTATGTAGAATACAACATTACATTACATTTGTATAGCGCCTTTCACATCGGGAGAACGCCCCAAGGCGCTGAACAGTGTACAGCATTTCAGTTTACCCCATAACCAGTTGATATATCTAGTGCTAGGAACTTCTGTGATTCAGATGTGTGACCACAGAGATGTTGATCTGTTTAAGTTAGTTCTTTTTAAAAAATATCAAAGTACTCGTTGAAAAAAAAATTAAGCAGAAATGGCACAATTTGTGCATTTAGTTATTGATTGTCTCTCCTAAACCATGTTGGTATGTGACTGAAAAGCAGCTTTCACATGAAACTGTGGTGGGGCTCATTGGTTATGTACAGTAACCAAATACTCCTGCCACTTTTAAAATGACTGTAGATTCCATGTGTACGCATGAGGGGAAATTACCAAATTTGCTTGAATGTAAAGTGTGGGCTTTTCTCTTAAAAGATACCACTAAAGTCAAAGTGAGCCTTAGAATTGCAGTTTAATTCCATTTCTCCCTACAAGCCCCCAAACCCAGTAAAACATATCTGTACCCTAGATTAGGGGACTTCTCAGATTGGAATAAATGCAGTGAAGTATTGGAAGATGCCTCAGAATTTTAAGAACTTAAAAATTAACCAAATGAAAATCTTCCCATCCTTCGGATGAGACGTTAAACTGGGGTCACTTCTGCCTGTTCAGATGCACGTTAAAAATCCCATGGCACTATTCAAAAAGAGAAGGGAGTTTCTCCCAGTGTCCTGGCCAACAATCCCCCAAATAAAATTGGTCCCTCACTCTGTGGCTGTTTGTGAGTTGTTGCTGTGCTCAATTGTGTTGCTGCATTTGCTCACAAAATGTACAGTTAATTCACTTTACAGTATATTCTATGAGATGCTTGGAGAAGTCTCAATGATGCCACAAGGCACTGTATCAAATGCAAGGATTATTATTGTTATTACAAAATGCAGTTAGAAAAAGTTGCAACTGAATAATGGCAGTGAAATTTAAGGAAGACCCAAGTATTCCATGGACAGAATAGAACTGGTCAAAGTAGAAGCTGAAAGTCACCTAAGGGTCATTAAAGCTTTTTTCAGACAATCAATGGCCCAAACTTGAAAGCTCAGCATCAGATATGGTTCTGCAGATCAAACCAGGAATGGGTTACTGATGTGAATAGGCATCTCCATTAGCAGGTTTGAAGAGTTAAATCTAATTGAACATCATCCTAACTTTGGGAACATTGGAATTATTGATATTATTTCTGAAGAAACCTTTTGAATAACTAGCACTTAATAGTGAAACTGTACAACTGAGAAAATCTTGTCCATGCTTTAAGGCTGTCTCTGATCACTTTGAACCCATTGGATGCTTACATAAGCTGCATGAGTGACTTAGGAAGTGGGTTATAATGCAGTATAAGGTACAAAGAGATTCAAATGTCAAGTTCCATCTGCTGCATTTTGGAACAATATCTGTTTTTCTTTAAGGTCAGTATATTTAACTTTTTTTAAAAAATGGTATTTTTGGTTTAACATTTTATTTTCTGTTTTTTTTGATTAGGGAACGATTGGTAATGTTTTGAGTCATGGATCACCTTGTAAACACTGGAACTCAAACTGATCCTGTTGTAACACTATCCTTTGCGCAAGCAGCTGCCTTGGGTCTTGTGGGTCAGAATGGGCCATTTAACTTTCCATTCAGGCAGAATGGGCTGTATCCTACCCCAGCTCCACCAATGGATAGAAATACTGTACCTGAACACATGACAGGACAATTCCCTGGGATTGATGGGATTAATGCAACAGAAAATTTTGAACAGCAGGAAGAGGAATGTTTAGAAGGAGAAAATGGCTTTTTGTCTTTTGAGAGGCAAACAAGGAGGAGAAAAAGGCAGCCTGTAAAGCTGGTACATTCTGAGAAGAATGATGAGAATTGTAAAGAAGAAGTTATTGAGATGTATGATGAAATTCAAACGAATGGTGTCCTTTACAGAAATGGAATAAAAATGATTGATATAAGTAACTTCAAAAGAAAACAAATGCATCGTTCCTTTCGTGAAAGGATTCAAGGGGTCCAGCCAGTTGCCTTTTCTCAGCACTTGGTAGACAATCTCCATTATAATTCTGCTGATCAGGATGACAGAGATGATCCTGCAAGTGCAAAACTAACTAGCACTTATTTCGATACAGATGATCCTCATACGTTTGATCCAGTAGAAGAAATTGCAGAAACATCCATGAATGAGGAGAATCGCAATTTTGTGTGGCAAGACCGAGTGTCCTATGAAGTAGAGCTGTCAGCGGCTGAACAGGAAGAGCGAAATAGAAGAGCTCAAATAGATCGGCTGGATATTAATGTTCAGATTGATGATTCCTATTGTATAGATGTTGGTGATGGACAGAAACGATGGCAGTGTCGTTTGTGTGAAAAATCCTATACTTCAAAGTATAACTTAGTCACTCACATTTTGGGCCACAGTGGCATTAAACCTCATGAATGTCCTCATTGTCGCAAGCTTTTTAAACAACCTAGTCACTTACAAATGCACCTTCTTACTCATGAAGGTATACGGCCACACAAGTGTGAAGTGTGTGACAAAGCCTTTACACAGACAAGTCACCTCAAACGGCACATGTTACTACATTCTGAGATTAAACCATACAGCTGCAGAGTATGTGGGCGTGGGTTTGCTTATCCCAGTGAATTAAAGACCCATGAAGCTAAACATGAAAATGGTAGATGTCATATTTGTATTGAATGTGGATTAGATTTTGCAACACTCTCTCAGTTAAAAAGACACCTTCTTGCACATCAAGGCCCCACACCATACCAGTGTGCAGAGTGTGATAAAACTTTTAATTACCGAAGTCAGCTTCAGAACCACATGATGAAGCATCAGAACATCCGCCCTTATGTCTGCACTGAATGTGGTATGGAGTTTACCCAACCTCATCATTTGAAACAACATTCACTCACACACAAGGTAAGGCTGTTTTCTCTCAACAAGTTGAGTGCTTAACAAACTAGGAGTAATATATGTCAATAAAAGCATCCTTGCTCTCGAAGAATCAGATGGTCAAGCCTTGGGATTTCACTGCTGCTTAGTAGCTGGCCTGATCCTAATCCAGTGAACTCTTTTAGTAACAATGGAGAATTGGGAGAAGGAAGAGCATTTTAGGATAGTGCATTTTAGGAACTTGGTTGGAACAAGAGGAAATTTCAAAGGAACAAGTTATTTAAAATGACCAAAAACGTTGTGACCGAAAAAGAAATGGAGTTTGGAGACCAGAGTTTTTTTCAAAAATATGTCTGATATTAACATTTTCTATTCTATCCAGGCCTAAGAGAGACATGTTAGAAAAACCTCCCAAATAATGGGAGTAGCATTGGTATCTCAGCCAGATTTGTATTTCAGAGTTATGGTGAGAGAGGTGGGAACTGTTTGGTATGAAAGAAGAAACTGAGCTGCTCGGTAGATGAAGTAGATGTGAGCATTCCATTTCAGATCATAGGATAGTGAGGCCAAAAATGTCAATAAATGAAAGATTAGAAGTGGAAACTTTGGAGGGATAGTTGTTGATTGGATTTGTGACAGACTTGAGGAAACTACATCTTTTAAAGAATTGAAAAATATGTTTTATTATCCATTCATTGTCAGATTAATAAACAATCATCCTTGGGACAAATTTGCCAATTATAATGCTGAATAACATTAAAATCTACATAAATAGGGACTTGTATGTTTTTATCTTGTTAGTTATGTCTTGGTATTCAAAAGTTGTTTAGTACACTCACTGAGAAAGAAACAAGTTTAAATATACTAATTTTCTGAATGAATATTTCTCTGAATTTAAATTGTAGCTTCTCTGGTCTTATCCACATTAGATTTTTGTTTCTTTGTAAGACCGTACTATGGTATGTAGAAATCACAAAAATGCTGTGCAGGTGCTTAATTGGATGAGGAATATCGATCTGGAAGAATGTCCTGTTCCTAAGACAACTATCAAGGGATCTTTTAAATGTTTATTTGGATCAATGCAGTTTCACACAACTTAATACTGTATGTGAATGTTGAGACATCTTGTGATTAAACCTTGTACCAAATCCTGTACAAAGAACAGCAAATTGTCTTGCCTACGGCTTCATATTATTTTGTAATCTGTGTTTCAAGAAAAATATAGGGATTGCATTTTAAACAGTTATTTTCTGAATGTGTTGTAGCTTTATATACTAAATAAAGATTTTGACAATGTCACATGCACAGTCTCATAAATATGGTCAATATTTGCTGCTGTTGTAGTTTGGTACTTTTTTTATACTTGCTGTGTTTGAGGGAATTAACTCAATTTGTTGAAACTGACTTTATAAACTTGATAGGAAAGAGTAGATGTGAGCAAGAGAACAGAAAGATGAACACCTAATGAGACCACACTGTCATTTCTACTTGATTGTGGATGCCCTTCAAATTTTTAAGACTTAGAGTTGTTTTCTCACCATCACCTGACAAAATTTAAAAATGAGCCCTTTGTTTTAGGTAAGATTTCTATTTGTGAGTGGTCTTCACTAAAATGTCTTGAATTACATTGTGAAAGATTGAATCACTATAATAAGGCAATATGCAATCTGTATTTTAGGATTTTCACAAATGTAATAATTGTGATATTTTTGCACTGCAGGCAATTTTCCCATTAGATTTTCAGTAAGTGTATTTGTAACATGGATGTCTGGAAAATGTTTGTACTGCATTGTATGCCCGAGCTATGGAAAATATTCAGCTAGGAAAATAATTATTGATTGTCCTAAACGTTATGGTCTTTTTTGAGCTGTGTCACACTATGGTGAAGTGCTGGAGTGATTTATGGCACAATTTGAGGCGATGAAACATCACAAGTGTTTTTGCATATATTTTACTAACACATTAAACTAAATGACAACACTGGACTTAGTTTTTCCACTTAACAATTTGACCACCAGATGGCACAAAAAGTGCATCCTTTTGCTAACATGGTGGCATTAGGCAATTGCAGTAGTTTTCAGTGGAAAAATGAAGCGCAGATGTGCTTATCTATGCCACTGCTTCAGAGTAATCCAAATGTTTATTGTTTTTGCAGAGAAAATCTACACCCAATGTTTTAGGACTTTGGAGTTAGTTAGTTCATTGAGTTCACTATGCTTGATCTTGAATTTGCGACCAAAGTCCTGTTTCATTTCCATAATCCAACAAAATGGAGAAAAACGATTTATGCTGCATGGATTGCTCATAGTTTACTAAAATTATATCAATAATTATTGAATTTTTTAATTTTGTATTTTGAATAGTTTTATTCTTTCAATTTTAGGAACATAAGAACAGGAGTAAGCCATTCGGCTCACCAAGCCTATCCCACCATCTTCCAAGATTATGGCCAATCCACAACTCAATTCCACCTCCCCGCCCACTATCCATATCACTTGATACGCCTGTATATCTATTTGTCTTTTAAATTTTTCAATTGATCCTGTCTCCACTGCCCTCTGGGGGGGAATGAATTTAACACTCCCACTACTCGCTGCATGAAAAATGTTACCTTATTTCACTCTTAAATGGTTTTGCCTCAGGTTTAAGACTATGGTCTCTATTCGCTCACCAGAGAAAACAGTTGCTTACCATCTTCAGCAATAAGAATTGATCAATTTCACATTTTCAGTTTTCAAACCCTTCTCTGGGAACACCAATTCCATACAAATTTAGAAGCTACTTAAAGTAGCCCAGTGGCATGACAAAGTTGGTTCACAGAGTGAATTGGTAACTTAGTACTTCTAACAGAAATGGAGCAGTTCTTAGTGGAACCACAGAGATTTAGGAGTAGGTTGTCTATCCACTCACCTGTTTCTAGAGAAGCTGCGCTAAAAAAAGGAAACTTAAAAAATATACCTAGTTTGCATTTTCTTTTGTTGTCTTTCCCCCTCTAATACCTCCAACAAAGGGATGTGGAGTGCAAATGTGCCACCAGATTCTTACCATAATATTGCTTAGCCAGTACTGGGAGAAACAGGCAGGCTAGGTTAGTTGTCTTCCCTATATACAAGCACTCATAGTCAGTTCAGCAACATCAGTAATTAATGTAGAAAATTTCAGGGGAAGACTCGTTTGACTCAACTCATTGCATCTCATTTGGAACTCCCTCTTGTAGCCCTTATTTAGCTTTGCACCTCCATAGCATCCAGTTTGGTCTTCCTATTTTTGGTAACTTTGTTTTCTAAAACAATTTTAAAAAGATTTGAATTTAAAATAAACTAACGTTCTAAACGATGAGCACAGACTTACCTACTATAATTTCTCCCCATTCAGGGAGTAAAAGAATTCAAGTGTGAGGTATGTGGACGTGAGTTTACACTTCAAGCAAACCTGAAGAGACACATGTTGATCCATACCAGTGTCCGAGCTTATCAGTGCCACATCTGTTTTAAAACATTTGTTCAAAAGCAGACGTTGAAGACTCACATGATTGTTCATTCACCAATTAAACCCTTCAAATGCAAGGTAAGGGAATATTAAACTAGTTTTGCTTCAATATACAGTAACTTCAGTTTTTCCCTAAACACAATGGGAGTGAGGAAATGGTTGGGGAGAAGGAGGTGAGTATATAAAACTGAGTATAGCCTGAAGATATCTGCCCGAAGTTTTCTGATAAATAATCTTCCAAGTTTCTGAAGATCTCACATTATTAGAAATAATACCTGAAGTGGTCAAACCGATAGTGAGTAATTGTCCAAATTGTCCCAAAACTGAAACAAGCCTAAGATGGGACTGACTACATTTCTAAGTCCTCAGGAGTTAGATAGGATAGGATAAATAGGATACTTCATAGCATACTTAAGATGCCTTGTGCATTAAAAAAGCTAAGCGGCTAAGCTTAAATTTCAGAATCACACATTGCTTGAAATCATGTAGTTGGATTTGCAGGTTTGTTATGAATTATGAGTCATGTGATTAGATTATACAGTGTCCAGATGCTTTTGCCTCACATTTGTATAATTCGCCTTCCTTGACCAATAATTGACCAAAGCTTATCATATTTATTTGTTTTTCAATTGAAGATTCTAAGGATGTGAATCCTGCCTTCCATTTTCAGCCTATTCATTATCAGCTGTGGTGATATATTCCTATGGGAACACTGGAGTCTCTGTAACTTACCCACTTCTGGTCTTGCCAAGTGGCGGTGGACTTGGAGCAGTGTAGGGATTTCATTATACTAACCATCAGTAAATTGTGACATTTCTAAAAGGAAGATAAGACTTGATTATTTTGTTTCTAGAATTTGTATCCTGGCTAGTTTTGAATGGCTTCAGTAATTGCTTTGCAGCAGTTTGAAGGTTTCTGTATTTTTAAAAAATCTAATATACTGTTCTTGGAAAAGGAATTATTCCCTACAGTGCAAAAAGGCAAGACTTTTTTGTGGCAGTATCATTTTGAACTTTGACCTTTGTTAATGAATTCCTTGCATGGAACCAGCTAAAGCCAAGATTGATTTTAATCTCAAATACCATTGGATAAAAATATCCAGTGCAATTCCATCACGGTCTAGTGTCTTTCCACCATTGTATAAGAAGTGTTTATTGCACAATGCATTGATGCATTTTTCATTTGTAAGTTTTACCTTTTTAGTTATGAAGGAAATATACTGTGTAATGTGCATCTGGTCTGCTTACAGTGCACAATCCACTTAAATTTTAGTGGCAATATGTATGCTTGCAATTCTTCTCAGTTCAACATCTTGTTGCAATAAAAGCCCCTTAAACACACTGAGTGAATGAAATGATAAACCATTATCAAGAATGCAGTTGGATACAGTTATAATGCAGGTTCCTATCTGATGGGTGTTGTACTGTAATGTCCGGCATAAACTCTAAACTAGTGTAAAATGTGGCAGCTGATTATAAAGGGCTAGAAAGTTATTTTTTCTGTCACCAACAAACTAGAGACATCAGAGGGGGAGAACTTATTAATTCCTTGGTTTGCAAGCAAAGGCTATAGTAATACAAGGCTTCAAATTGTTCTTGAAGGTTTTTTTTGGACATTTTTCAGATTCAATATGGTTTAACTGAGTTAGATGGGTTAATAGTTTTCATATTCTCTTCAGGTATGTGGAAAAGAATTCAATCGGATGTACAATCTCCTGGGTCACATGCATCTTCATTCAGACAGTAAACCTTTCAAATGTCCATACTGTTCAAGCAAGTTTACCCTCAAAGGCAACTTAAGCCGGCATATGAAGGTCAAACATGGTGTCATGGATATTGTCCTTGATGGTCAAGGTATAGTATTTTATTAATGACACCAAAAAACCATTGCACAAGCAGTAGGCTTCTTTTTGCTTTTGTTTAAAACATCCATTCAATATAGGATTTTGAGATGCACATTTGCAATCAATTAATACTGTTTAAATTCCCATTTTGGTGTCCAATTGTTTGACAGGAAAGGAAATGTAAAATATGAGTTAACTATTCCTTAATAATGTGAGTCCAGCAGTATAAATAACCACCAAGGACACTTGGACCAGCTAGTATTCTAGACGTAAATGTGAAGTCCTCTGCCACAGGGAAGCTTTTGGAGAAAATCTTGAGTTGAATGGTATTGAAGTGTAGCGCTGTGTGTGGACAGTCAACATTGTTAAACTGAGGACAAATCGCAATGCAGACGTATGCCTGTAGTAATCTAATTTGTCCAGTTCTCAGGAATATTTGTGACTGAGTGCTTACTGTAATTAGTTCAAATTGGGTATTATCCTGTAGTCTCCTGTACAATAGATCAGAATTGCTTGAAATCTTATACTTTCAATGTTTAAATAAGTAAACCTGCTCTGACACCATTTTGTCTTTTCTCCCAACAGAAAACTTGTTAGATATTGGAAATGCCGAACATTTAGAAGGGCACCATGGGGACATTGATGATTATGAAGAAAATTCTTTTGACTTCACAGGTGGTAGAAAAGTTGGTGATGATACTTCTGACTCAACTAAAATGTCTGATGAAGAGAGTATGAAAGACATGTACTTCAGCTTTGAGAAAGAAGCTGAAAGATATGGGATAGACTTAAAACCTTAACTTAAGTGAAGCCAAAAACATATTTTGATACCGTGCTTTGACCATTGTTCATGTGCATAGCTTTTATTAATACTGCAACTGCAGATTTTTTTAAAATTACATTCCAATAAGCACATGCTTCACAAAAAATTGTAATGTGAATCCATTTTACACGTTACTAATCTCAGGGTTCTGTGGAGATTTTTTTTTAAAAAACTGGTCCGTTCTGGACCAAAGCAGTTGACTACTACCAAAACAATGTTGGTCTTTACTGTGTAAAATATAACTTTAAAACAAGGTTCTATGTATATATACATCCAGTTGCAGTAATTCATTGAATTACATTGTGGAGTTGCTTTTGTGGATTTATTTTTCTTACTGGACTTATGTATTGGCTACACTAGCAATAAAATAACAGATCTGTTCTAGGTCTCCCCCTGTACTTTTTTTGTTCTAAAATTTACTCAGTGTTTTAAACTAAATTGCTAATCCTTATGGTTGAAATAGAGCCTTTCATATTGGAAGAATGTCTGAGCTTCATGGGATTTAGTTTAGAAATGTACATTACCCTCATTCCACTTGTATACAGTTAGCACTGCCTTAATGTAAGATACACACTTGATTCCATTATTGATCTTTCAAAATTCCAAACAGGTGAAATGCAGACTATTAATGAGTGTCCATACAAATCTGACCCACATACTCACCCACACTAAACTCTAAATCCCCATCACACTCGTCCTTGTCAGGCTTCACTGGCTCCCAATCACAGAACAACTTTAGGATCCTCATATTCCTACCCTTCATACCCCGGTCCCTCCCTCCCTCCAATCTGCAAACTCCCCACCACCTCTGCTTGCCTTGTTGCAAATTCCCTCCACCATCAGCGACTATGCTTTCAGCCAGCAGGCTGTGGTATACACAACTGTATGGTAGCAATGCTTCATGCACACAAGAGAGGAGTTTCTAGTCCTAAAAGATGAGGAAAATAAAAGTGGATTAAAGATTTTTATTGCCTTCTTGATACCAACACATGTACCTCATTGATAGACAAAATATATTACAGATTTTGAGTGAACTGTTTGACAATACAAAAGATACCAGTCTAACCTTTCTGTACAAAGTCCACCCAGTAGCACTAGGAAAAACTTATTTATAAATTTAATTTAAATGTTAAAAAAGTAAATGACTGGCTTTCCCCTTCTGAGGAGAAAAAAACCCTAGTTTGATGTGAGTTGAGTTACAATAATTATCCATCAGCCATCTACTTCTTGCCCAGGGCTTTGTCCAAATTGTTCTTAATGGCATCCAGAAAGTCAGTGGTGTTCACATAATGTTCATTCAGACGGACACTAGAAGAGAAATTAGTGTGGTGGTGAGAATTTTCCATACATTTAAAAACAAAAAACTAGATTATTCTTTGGGTTGGGTCATTTTGGTACATGAGTTTTTTTTAATAAAAATAAACTTACTGATGAAGGCCATGGATGCACCCAGCCAGATCCTTGGTCATGACACCACTCTCCACAGTTTCAACACAAACCTTTTCAAGTGTCTGGGAAAAGCTGTGTTTTTTTTAAAAAAATTAAAATTTATTTCAAGTTTAATCCAAGGCATCTACATCAATGCAATTAGTTCAGGTTGTCAAATGCCCACATTTACTTTACCTGATGAGTGCTTGATTGCCATCGAGCTTTCCACGGTGTTCAAGGCCTCGAGTCCAAGCAAAGATACTTGCAATTGGGTTAGTGCTAGTAGGGTTACCCTGCAATAGATGAAAGAATTGGGTTTGTTCTTGTACAGCTTAAGATTTGCACAATGTAGCTTCTGAAAAAACCAAGAGCATCTTATGAAGTATGGAGTCCTGTAGCTCAGTGGTTAGAGCACTCGCTCTGCAAGTGAGAGACCAGAGTTCAATTCCAGGCAGGGCGAAACCTTGGGCAAGTGTCCTTACTCCACACACCTAATAATAATCCCTCCAAAAAAAACAAACAATAATGAATTGGTCATTTTCAATCCACGACTGTTTGTGGGACACTGCTGTGCGCAGTTGTGCTGCCGCGTTCGCCCACAAATATACACTCAATTCACTTTACAGTCTATTCTATGAAGCACTTTGGGACGTCTAGAAGACGTGAAAAGCGCTATATCAAATGCAAGGATTATTATTATAATATCCTATCTACTTTACTGACCTGAATATGTTATTTCACTAGAAAAGTAAAACTATACTGAAAGTATTTTGTTACTTAAATGGCATTGTAGTATTAAGGGAAATGACATCATCTAACTTTCACACAAGTGATGCAACACATAATTGATTCACTCAGTCCTAAACAAAATGTCCTTTTCCTTACCTTCTGATGTTCTCTGTAATGACGTGTAACAGTGCCATGAGCTGCCTCTGCTTCAATCGTCTTTCCATCAGGACAAACCAAAACAGAGGTCATCAACCCAAGAGAACCAAACCCTAGCAAAAAGATCATATAGAAAATGAACTTATAAAAAATGTTTAGGAACCAAGTTACAAGGCAGATCTTTCATTTCAGCGGCATATGTCTTCTTCACCTTCACCCCCAGATACAGAAGTACTGGTGAAGCATTTTTGTTTGTCAGTGTGAATTCCAATGAAATATATTTCAATGGCAGCTAATTTTCCCAGTTATTATTGGAGTAAATTTGCACATCAGTCAATAGTTTATAGCATTAGCCATTAATCCCAATAAGCCTACTCTGGTGCCATCTCGTTCACTGGCTGCAACTATTCTAACCCCAATTCACTGCACCGCTGTTATATTAAAAAAAATTATAAAATGGCTGCAGTCTCAATGGCCACTTGTTCCAATGCGTGAAACCTTTTAACTTGAGCTTTAAACTTACAAGGAAAATCTTTAAATTCTGCATTAAAAATTCACATTGGGGCTTATGATTATAAAGATACAATTGATGATATCTTGAAGTTCTAACTTTACTGTAAGCACTTAACTTCTATTCTGAGCGATACATTTACTGTACCCTTATGAATAGAGACCCATCTAGTTCAACTGAATGGCTCTCAGTAAGATTTATGTTGGGAGACACCTAGAGTCGAATACATTTGAAACACGGGTGGAAGAAGTATGAAGAAAAGTACCTTAAAATAGAATTGAGGAATACAAAATGAATACATATTTGAATTCAATGATACAAATTTAAATTGCAGATTCTCCCATTTGATTAAATATTTTCTACATATTTGAATTCATTTGAACTATTTAATCAATTGGGAGAAGCTGCAATCTAAATTTGTATGATTAGAAGACAAAAGTACCCGAAAAGGCCATAGAACCTAATGTGCTCAAGCCAAGTAGAGAGGTGAAGTTGGAAGGAAATGTGAAGTGTGGCACAAAGAATAAGCAAAAAGGCATTTAGGAAATCTACGAAGGAGGATTTGGAAGCAAAGAGGTTTTAAACAGATACATTTGAGTAAGTAGCAAAGAGGTTTACAAACTTACATGCACGCACACAAAGCAAAGGCAGATTAGTTCATGCAACAATAACGGTGATGGTGGAGATTTGAAATCAGGAGGTAAGAAATGAGTTGTTAAACAGTTACTTTGAATTTGTTGTACAAAGAGCCTGAAGAGTTACCCAAGCCAAGGATGAGATTTTCAGGGACAACTGGAGTGAAGCTAGGGAGTGTGTAGATAACAGAAATGGTTAAGCTCAGAGAAGACAGATCAAGGTTGAAAACACAAAGCTCAGCTTTCCAGTGGATTGGAAAAAACGGTACAAACACCATTTCATTATTTACAAAATATCAAGGCACATCTATAAGCTACAGACCAGTTACTCATTAGTGATTGGGAAAGCACATAAAGTTTGAAAATATTGAGAACTACCTGAAAAACAGTTTCATAAAAGATCAGTCAGCATAACTTCAGGAAGGTCATACTTTGGACTTATTGCAGCTTTACAATTAATTAGCTAATACAGCTATGGTCAGCAAGCAGAAGGCACAACAAGCAAGAGGTTATGCAAACAAATTAATCTAACTTTTGTAGCTTTTAAACAAAAACTTAATCATCAATCTATGTAGATGCAACTTCCTCTACTGTACCCCAAAAGGGAATCTACAGGAGTAAAAAATAGTCAAGTTACCTTGGGCAAGAATATCAGACTGTACATCACCATCATAGTTCTTGCAGGCCCAAACAAATCCACCCGAAGACTTCAACACTTGAGCTACCATGTCATCGATAAGACGATGCTCATACCATATACCAGCCTTCTCAAAATCGCCCTTGTAATTTCTGTAAAAGTAACCAGTATCATTCAACTAATATTAAAAGTATACCTACTTAATGACCTAGCAGGCAATAGGTACCACAGTGTTGCACGGAGCTATTCAGGTTAGAAGATTTCAAGATTGAGTCTCAATTACTAAATTAAACTAGGATCCCACTTTGATCACTATATAGCAAAACTTGTGTAGGTGTAGACACTGGTGGAATAAAATTCCACCTGGGTCTCGATTTTATTGTAAACCTTCAGGACTAAACATTAACATTATGCAATTTCATGCATGGTAGATGTTTCTATTTTGGTCAAAATGCAGTACAAAAAAATTGGTATGAAGGGGAAAACATTTTTACATACTGCTGATAGATTTCTTCAAAGATATCTTTGAAGCGCCCATCATAGGCCTTCAGGATAGTATTCTTCGTGCTCATGTAGAGTGGCCACTTCTTTTGCAGTGAATACTGGAAGCAGCTGTGGGCAAAACCAGTAATGGACTAGAAAAAGCAAATTTAAAAAAAGTCTTGGGTCAAGATAGAAACATTTGACAAAACCATTACAAATGCCAGCAAAAATATGTTTGCAGCATTGCTCTCCCAAGATGGGAATAGTATTAGATTCAAAATAAATTTTGTATTACACACACAACAAAGCAGAAATTGAAGGCGTCCACACAAAAATAAAATCTACTTTTAGTTTCAGCTATTTCCTTATTGAAAAGAGACTGATTTAAAACCACAGGGCCTATTACTGAATAGCCAGTTGCAGTGATAACCTACCTCATCAGTATTATACATGCCCATACCAACACCACCTCCAGGGTAGTCATACACATCCCACTCCTGTGCAGCACCCCCCTTCTTGGGAGTAAAGACTAGTTTGAATTTTCCAGGTTGATCCACCACAAAGTCTACAGCTTTGTACTGAAGGGTACAGATTCAAGACACAAAAATTAGACCACAAAAAGGCAAATACTTTTGCAATTTAACAAAAAAACTGCATTAAACATTTAAACAAAATAACATTTTATTATAATTGCAACAATACACGCCAATAAATAATGTGCACTTACTATTTAAGAAAATAGCTTTAATTTCTAAAGAACATTTATTGAAGTTTTCATTAAAACATATTACAACAATAGTAAAAATAGTCTATTTGGTTTTATTTGCTAACTATTAGAACAAAGATCTGCCTACATACCTGGTCACCATGTGCATGTCTGCCAATGGTAATGGCCTGACTCCAACCAGGAACAAGTCTGGGAATGTTATTGCAGATAATAGGCTCACGGAAAACGGTACCACCCAAGATGTTTCTAATTGTGCCATTTGGACTCTTCCACATGTTCTTCAGCTTAAATTCTGCAAAACACAAATCATTAAGAGTTTAGAAGAGTTGCTTATTGCAGGAGGTTTAATTCCATTTAGTACACCAAATTATTCTTGGACAGCCTCAAAACTGAAGCAAAAGAGAATAGATAATCCAAAATGAAAGAAGCCAAAATTCAAATGCTAATCCAGTGAATTCCTTGCCAGCCATTCCATATGTTTTGGTTCCATCAGATTATTTCACAACAGGTTCAGACTGTAGTTCTACTTTCCTCACTACGGTTTGTTAATTCCCGCCAGGATCAACAAAATAAAGTGGAGCTATAACGGAATTGGCCTTAATTTCACCATTTGCACTGTACTTAGCAAGTTCCAAAGTGTTGACCAAGATCTGCATTTCTGTCAAAATATGTCATGATCGGGAATTTAAGTCAGTTCAGGAAAATGTTCCACTTTATTTAGGAAGATTAGTACAGCCCCGTTAGCAATTCTATTTAGCTCACAAGATGAACAGCACAGCTGATTAAATTCTGTGGTACAGACTTCCTGTTGTGTGAACACTGTTGGATTCTGCATAAAATTAGAAAACTGCTCAGACGTATTAAATGAATAACCCAAAAGCAAGGCTGATTTCTTTGTAGTAGCTTGACACCAGCAAGTGACACAGTGGGTGGGACTGACGTTAGATATGACTGTAGGTGCTTGTAGATCACAATAGTCGCAACTTGCAAATTTCTGAAGGTTCACAGTCATATTTTTGAAACACACAACTTAATAATAATACTTTGCATTTAATATACCACCTCCTGGCATTTCAGGTCATCCTCCCGACATGAAAGGCGCTTTATAAATGTAATTTTTTATTGTATTGAGATGTTTCAAAGTGCTTTGCAGGATATACTGTGGGTTGACTATTTTACATTACCTTCTACTCTGTCCTCATCGGGAGTTATTGTGGCACACTTCACTGCAACATTGTACTTTTGGGTTGCAATCGCAGAGTCGATGGTAACCTGATCATTAGTGGAGTCACGGTATGGCAAACCCAGATCAAAATATTTCAACTCCACATCAACATTGGAAAGGATGAGCTGTGGAAAGAGAAATTCCAATACAAATTCCAGCAAAGCCATTTACATACTTGTCGACTTTTACGCTTTGCGATCAAAAAAAACACTACTGCCATTAATCTTGTTTAACTGGAACTGTTTTAGTCGCAATGTTTACACAATACACTATAAGCTGACCAATGGAAGGGTGGGGGCGGAGGAGGAGATGAATAAACTCAAGATCAAGGTAGATAAGTACAGAAATCACCATTAATTATTGTGCCAATTATTAATATTCAATCAAAGTAGTTATCGACCGCTAGAGTATAGAATTAGAAAAAGTCTAATCAAATGGTTGTTTACGTTGTTAAACATCTTACCTTCTCCTTGATAAATGCCCAGATAATGCGGGTCATCTCATCACCGTCCATCTCCACCACGGGGTTGGCCACCTTGATGCGCTTGTCTGCATCTGTTTGATTGAAAGAAGACTATTGACCCAGGTTGGCAACTCAAAGTGAGCAAATGGGTTCTTTACGTAAACTGGTTCGATACTAGTTCATTTCAGGCAAAAGCTGACTTTTTTTAAAAAAAATAGCAACTCGTGCTCTGTGAACCAACAACAACTTATACAGCACCCTTCGCACAGCACCCTTCGCACAGCGTAGCAGCTTGAAAGAGAAAAGTGTTTGGTCAGTAAAGATAGTGAAGATGGTGAGAAAGTGGGAAGTGGGGGTGAAGGAAAGCAAGGAAAGAAACTGGTCATCACACCCAAAGAAAAAACGCACGCCGCTTACAGCACTTTAATACTTGACTTCTACCACAAGAGGCAGACAGAGCTACACAATTAAGGCAATGGGAATCCAGCACGTACATACACACAACATACTTCAGCTTATTGGTGTGGAGGTTTTGTGGCATTATGTAATTCCCCCTGGCTGCAAGAAAAGAGTCACTGAATTAATAACACATTTAAATCTTACAGCGCTTCAAAATCCTTTCCCCCAATTTTTTTTAACTGCAGTTCTGAATTAAATTTGTAAAGAATAAAGTCTTCCACCTTCCAATGAACGGTGGAATTACATCACTCGAGCACTTCAGCACAAGCTGCAGTGCTATAAGAAAGCTTCCTTTTTGCTAAAATCCTACCACCCATTCAGCATATCCGCCACCCCACTCTACGCAATTCCATCCTGGATCCCTTTGACTCGCCCCTTCAAAATCCACCTCAAGACCTTCCTTTTGACCACACTTTCAGCCATCTTTCTCCCCTACCACCCAGAGCGGGTACAAACTCAGTTGTTCAGTGCCTTGAGATGTCCTCCTGACAGGAAATGGACTGTGTAAATGTAAATTTGTATTGTACAGATTCGATACGACAGAATAACAAGCAAAATAAATCAAAAGCCCATTATATGCAGTCTGCTTCAAGCCTCCACATTTCTCTGAAGCTAGAGAGATTTGTAAACATAGCACGCTAAATATTTGCACTGCTTCTATTGTCTATTCCTTGAATTCTCTCTTCCCTTTTGCCAAGAAAGTGTTTAAAGCGAGACTGAAAGATAGTTTCACAATATTCAGACAACTAGAATTAAAACTTCCGCGTTCTAGGTAAAAAATGTCTGGACAGCATTTTAAATTAACAATCATGCCAAAAAGCAATGAAGAAGAACTAACATATTGCATCATCCAACAGTTGAAGCAGGAATAACCTGAATTAAGGATTTTATCAGATGTACCAGTAATACACACCCAGTCAAGTGACCGTCAGATTTTGGACTAGTTTTAAATCTCAGGGGTTCTTATCCTCTTCGGTATTGCTAAAAATGAATACCAAGTCTAAAAAAGGATCTGCTTGGACTGATCTGGCTCCGAGCAGACATCTGGCAAGAAGCTCCAAAGTAATTTAAGACATTTTCAATTATTCACCTGCGTGGCTCATCAATGACAAGAAGTCTATTCTCAACTCCATAAGACAAAGGTTCACAAGGTGGGTTATAGCTGGACTAATCCTACACTGTGCATTTACAGCACTCTTACAACACACTTTAACTAATATGATGCTTTAGATCAAAGCTCTTTGAAAACATTTATTTTTAAATGCATTGAGTTTGTGTGCAGGCAGCCAATCTGCCCCCAACAATACGTTTTAAAAAACAGCAACTATATGAATGGTACCACCATCATCCTGAGGGCTCTTTCCACAATGCAGAACTCAGGAATCCTGGAGTCAGTCCACATGAGGGACAAGCATTACGAAGGAGTTGCGAGAGGGCTTCAGGAGAGATGGATTTTCATGGCGTATAGCCAGACACAGGTGAGTTGGGCAATGTGGGCCGTTTCCATGCTGCGTTCTGCATAATTCTACATTCTGAGTTTACACACTGGTGGGTGTGAATCTTCAATCCAGAACCTTGTGCCCCAGAGACGAGCACCACCAACTGAGCCAAGCTGACAACAAATCATTCTCAAACTAATACTGCGTTATTACATTAATGTTGAATGGAGACGGACATTTTCTCAAATATTATGCAGCATAAAGACGCCCTCTTAAAAGTTGAAACAGATGAAAGCTGATTCTGTCTTAGCTAACCTGCTGCTCCCACAAAGAAGAGGTGGCTTCATGGGACCTCCCTTTCACTAAAACGCTTTAGTTGAGAATCTTGATTAAGCCACGTATGGTACAAATTAATGATTTACTTCAAGGTGACAGGCAAGACACAAATTATCCACAAAGGCACCCACCCTTCTATTATGCCGATTTCACCCACAAAACATGCAATCAATTCGCTCTACGATATATTCTGTGAAGCACTTTGAGACGTCTCAAAGACATGATAAGGCGCTATGTCAAATGCAAGGATTATTATTAAGGCAACAATGGACTGAAGATAAGCAAACTCTGGGCAGCAATGTCTGGCATTTCAGAGCAGCTATTTAATCTATATTGGGCAATACCTCTAATCACCAGCTGAATCTTGCAAACATTTCAAATAGATTAAAGTGTTCCTGCAAGTCGACAGACAGTCCAAAAGCACAGGAGTAATTTTAGCTGGTTATGTTCCACGAATGGGTCTTTAAATGCAAATGGATCCTGCCAGAGTGTTCCAGGCAGGAATAAATCAAGATCATGGACTCACTGCAGCAGCTCTTTGTCCCAGGAAATGATTTCCCACAATTTGCAAATGGAAACGCTAATTTACACGCAGTTCTCAGCTGCGAAACTGCTGACTCTTTATAACACCAATACAGCAAAGGATTTCCGCAGTTAAGCGCAGAGTGGGCGGGTGGGTGAGAGAGAGGATTTCCGCAAAAGGTCAACAAAATGCAGCGAATATTTAAAGAAAGGAATTTAAGTTATTTGCAATCGACAGACAAACAGACAGAGGGAGTGAAACAGAGACAGAGAGAGAGAGTTAGGTGGAATTATGGTGGTACAAAAATAAACCCAGGTCAACGCAATACAGCAAAATGTGGCAAGTCAGAAATCACTTGAAATACACCAGAAGGTCATGTTGTCATTGATTCCCTTTCCTCTCCCGCCCGCCACGTCATTTGCTACTCAATAGCGGCATTTCTTAAATTAAAGGCTCAGGATAAAATAAGGAGGGGAGGGGGAGAAAAAAAAACGAGGAAGAGAAAGAAAGGAGAGAGGAAGGTCAACGTCCTTGAACTGACCTCCTCTGACCAACTCATTGCAATAGGATCTGTTCCCACTGAGAGGGTGGGGGGGGGGGGGAGAGAAGGGGACAGGCCCTGATCTAGATTGGCAGCCTCTAATGCAAAGCAAAGTGGGGGTGGGTTAAGGGAGGGGAAGAGAGATAGAGAGTGAGTGAGAGAGAAAAAGAAAGAAAGACAGCAATGCAATTGAAAGACCGGGTTTTAAATGGAGTTGGGGTTTGGAGGTTGCACAAAGCTGGAGCAGCTGTCACTGTGGCTTCAATGTCACTGCGCCCTCCAAGAGCACTCAGTGGAACCACAAGGACATTAACTGCGCCTGGAGAAGGGGGGGGGAGTTGGGGGGACAAGTGGGTGGAGGCAAAGGATCAAAACTCCTGCCTTACATTGAACTAAGTGACAAAAAAAAATTTATTAAAATAATTGAATTTTAAAAAATGCCTGTTTTTATCTCTCCCACCCCAACACACACACACACACCACCCCCCCCCCCCATATAACGGGAATTAAAAAAAACTACACACACAAGCCCAACAGTAATGAAAGCAGCAATGGTTTCCCCCCCCCCCCCTCTCTCAAACCACCTTTTTTTTTGCAAATGCACAGAAATAAGATTTTTGAAGCAAAAGCACACATTTTTTTTTGGAAAAAAAATTACACATAATTGTTATTCACCACCAAACAACACTATCAAAACCAACTCGGTTGGGAGACAAGATGGAGGTGGGGGGTGGGAGAAAGAGCAAAGCTACAGGCAAGAACACCACACAAAAAACACACCAAAAGAGAGAGGCATTGCTTCCACTGCAGTGACCTCTTTATTGCCAAAAAAAAGGAGAGAGAGAGAGAGAGAAAGAGAGGGAAAAAAAGGGAAGCCAACAGGAATAGAAGCAGCAATGGTGGAGATAGAGAGAGAGAGAAGAAAAAAGGGGAGAGAGTGGAGATAGGAAGAAAAAGGGGGTGGAGGGAAAGAGAATGGAGAGAGAGAGAGAGAGAGAAAGAGGGGGGGGTGGTGGAAGGGAGAGAGTGGAGATAGAGAGACAGAGAGAGAGAGCGAGAAAAAAAAAGGTGGGTGGGGGAGGAGGAAAAGAAGAGGGAGAGAAAGAGAGAAAGAAAGAGAGAGAGAGAGAACAAAAAACAGCCTCCCCGCAAAACAAGAGAGAGAGAGAGAGAATGTGTGTGTGTGTGTGGGTGTGTGTGTGGGGGTGTGTGTGGGGGGGGGAGTGCAAAAATAAAAATGCGGTCCTGAACACAAAGAGAGAGAGAAAAAGAAAGAAAGAGAAAGAAAGAAAGAGAGAGACTCACAGTTCCTTCGTTGCACATGTTGGCAGAGAGCAGGAGTCAGCACTGCCGGTGGGGGTTTGCTGATGGCACTCTGTCGGATGGCATTGAAGACCTTGAGATAAGCTGCCATTGCACTGCTGGTGCTGGTGTTACTGTTGCTGCTCCTGTTGTTATTGTTATTATTATTGCTGGTGGTGGTGGTGGGGGGGGTTGATACTTTGTTGCTGCGGCGGCTGTAGCTGCTGCTGCTGCTGCTCTGGTCTCCAGCTCCGCTCTGCCCCGGTTCCCCCGCCCGCTTTACCCTTTTTTTGTCGCCTGGCGGTTACGTGAGTCACGTCTGTTCACTTTACTCACTCTCTCTCTCTCTCTCTCTCACACACTCACTCTCTCTCTCTCTCTCTCTCTCATTGCTCGCCTTGACCCTCCACTCTCTCTCTCTCTCTCTCACTCTCTGCCCCCCCCCCCCCCACACACACACCCACACACACACACACCCCCCACCCACACTTGACACATTCATTATTAAATCCAATTCAACTCCCAAACCACAAGATCATTTGTTGCATTCATTTCACCCCCCACACTCCCCCCCCCCCTCTCCATCTCTCTCTCTCTCTCTCTCTCGCACCCCACCCCAAAAAAAACTTTGTTCCTTCCCTCCCACCCCCCCCCACACACACCCCCCCACACACACACTTTTCTGTTCAGAAAAAAACAGATCCATTTCACTTTTATGCTCATTCATTTATTCATTCATTCATCGCCCATTTCCACTCACCCCATATAATAAAGTTTAACCTCTGTCTTTAACATAGCAATATAGTATTAGCCTCCGGCAAAATATTTGTTGGGTTTTAAAACAACTATGTGGTTGGTTCTGTTAATAAATACACATGCTGTTGGAATCAGAATGATGCAGATAGCTTTTTATACTACTATTAAAGACAACAATAATATTATTATCATTATTTTTTATACTACTATTAAAAGCAATAATAATAATAATATTATTTTTTACATTAATGCTGCATTTCAATACAACTCCTTCCACAGTGGGAGGACATCTCAAAACACTTTACGGGATGTACTGTGATGTGTAGAGACCGGGCGAAAATTGGTTGAAGTGATCAAAAGAATGGATCTGCAGAAACCTCTTTCGTAATCATTACACTTGAATGGGGTATTACAATACACGAATGGGTCTTTTTTTTGGTCAGTTGAGCGGCTGACACAGGTGGAAGTTGTTAAGAGGATCCAAACCGAACTGAAAGGTCCACATATGTGTGCCACCTACACATTCCAATTTCCCTGTGTCTGGAGTGAGATGCGTCCTTCCTCCCTCCTTACCTAATCCCAGAGGGAATTAGGTGCAGGTTTCAAGGCCAAGGCCTGGGGAGCCCAGGGTTTGGTTTTGGGTACTGGAGTTTAACCGGCTAAAACTGCATAGTTTACCATTTAGAGAACTGCCTGGCAAGCTTCCTGCATCTTGTCCAGCCAGGACCACCCTACCTGCTAAGGTTTTGACCGCGTGAGAAGAATCCCTGACCCCAGTGACCAGTCTGCCCCTCCAACTACTGCTGATGACCCAGGCTGGCTAGTCTATTATCAGCAGTGCCTTGGAGTACACACTTTGGACGACTTAGGAACTTAGGCTACCATTATTTTGCTTCACTCTGCGTTTGTGAGGGGGATCTATTATGAAATATGTGTGTGTGTGTGTGCAGCAGCTTATGTCATTGCATAGTATGTGTGATGATGTTACCATTTCTAGCACCTGTTCTGTTGCTGTTAAGAACATTGGGACATGCATGCAACTGGTATAATTAACATTGTTGGCAGCATTAACTTGATTAAGTTTGAACAGGGCAGGCTATGCTGGCACTGCTTTATGCTAAACTCAAGTGCAACGTAAGAACCAATCTGTAAAAGTCAGTCAAAGAGGTAATTGGAGGGTGGCGACCTTGAGTTTCAGTCCGGGAATAAATCAATAGTAATACATCACAGTAAGAAAAAAACACTACCCGTAGAACACAAACAAGACGGGAAGGGAAAAAACCTTTCAATCATTTTATATGCCACACTAACCACTGAATGGTTTTATAACCTTTGATTTTGGTATTATTACTCAACAAAACCTCAATACTGCTTTCTAAATAATATTTACTGGGTTTCATACAATACATTATAGTGGTTTCCTTGAAATTGTTATGCCACAGAGAATAATAGTGGCAATTTTCCACCAAACTATATAATTTACACTTAAAAATGAATTAATAGAAGGATATGAAATGTCTTAAATAACTGATTAAATAACTAATTGCCTCCAATTTTCCTGCTCTAATGTTCTCTTCTCCTGATGGTATTTTGATTCACTTTCCCTTGGACCTGCCACGTACCCCGTTCCCTCCATACCACAATCGGTGGCTGAGCATTCTGTCACTATATCCTCACCTGGAACTCCCTGCCAATATCTGTCTGCCTCACCACCTCCTGATCTATCTTTAAATCCCGCCTTAAAACCTACCTCATCAAGGGTGGCAAAATTCACCTCCCCTTCTGCTTTGCATGGGGTCTGACTCCATCATTGTGAAGCGCTTTGAGAAGTTAACTTATGTGAAGGGTGTGATATGAATACAAGTTGTTGTTGATGCAACTCGCATTCATACCGTTCATATGGGTACCATTGACTGGGGGGTGGGGGGAAGGGTATGACAACTGAGGCCCATTCTGTCCTCATCTGATGTCCAAGTATGGAGATCTTCCATCAGTGGTGTTGAGGGCAATCATAATGCCCCATTTTATGGCTAGGATTGGATCCTATGACTTCTGATCATATGACCTTATGTTGCATGATCTGTGTCTTCATCTACTAAACTAGCTCGGTGGAGCTATGTTAATGTGTTTGATATCATATCTGCTCTGACAGATATTTAAAACATTGATCCAAGGTTAAAAACAAATGGATTTCAAAGGTTGCTTGCTAATTTGTGCTAATCAAATATAATATCTTCTGCGGTGAAGGCTTTCCCCAGTCAACAACAATAACAAAATTAAATTTATAGAGCGCCTTTCACGTCGGGAGGACATCCCAAAGCACTGAACAGTCAGGTGTTGAGACCCGAGCATGGGGGAGGGGTGGGGTCGGGATGAAGGAAGGCAGAGAGGTGGGAGGGAGACCAAAGGCATGGTCGAAGAGAAGGGTCTTGAGACCAGCCTTGAAGGAGGCGAGGGAGTAAGCGAGGCGAAGGGACTGTGGGATGGAGTTCCAGAGTGTGGGGGCAGAGAGGCTGAAAGCCCGGCCACCGATGATAGGGCGGGTCGGGTGGGAGACATGGAGCAGGCCAGAGCCCGCTGAACGGAGAGAGCAGGCAGGTTGGTATGGAGTCAGCAGGTTAGAGAGGTAGGAGGGGACAAGACCATGGATGGCCTTGAAAGTGAGGACAAGGATCTTGAATTCGATCCTCTGAGGGATGGGGAGCCAGTGGAGTCAGGCGAGGGTGGGAGTGATGGGGTCGCGGAGCCTGGTGCATGAGAGTACACAAGCTGCAGAGTTTTGGATGATCTGTAGCTTGTGAAGGGAAGAGTTGGGAAGGTCGATGAGGAGGGAGTTCCCTCATTGAGTCACTCATTGAGCCAAAGCTTTTTAGCATCCTATTTGTTGCTCTTCCGGTAATGTATCCTCTGTTAAATACCTCCATGTGAGCCTACAAGATAACCCCCCCTAAAATGTATCAGAATTGATTTGAGGCATTACAATCACTGTGTGTTAAATGTAAATCATTATGTTTGTAAATAATTGTAAAAGTTGATATACTGCAAAGTAAATATTGATATATTGCAAAGTAAAGTTCTCTCCTATCTTCCCAATGGTTTCCTCTTCTTATTAAAGGTGACTCTTGTTTGAATTTGATTTCATAGACTAAAGTGGTCATGCTTCATGTAAAACCTTACAGACAGTGAGTTTTACAAGTCTATAGGATTGGTGGCGCACCAATTTAAAGCGTATCATGTCTCCATCTAACTTCCACACAAGGAATTAAAGGCATGGATCGAAGCGTGGCTAACGGGAACAAAACAGAGAGTAGGGATAAACGGGACCTTCTCAGATTGGCACGATGTGACGAGTGGAATGCCACAAGAGTCAGTGCTTGGGCCTCAACTATCTACAATCTATATCAATGATCTGAACGAGGACATAGAACATAAAATATCTAAATTCGCGGATGATACCAAGCCAGGTGGGAGAGTAAGCCCTGAGGATGACACAAAAAGATTGCAAAGGGATATAGATAGGCTAGATGAGTGGGCAAGAAGATGGAAGATGAAATATAATGTGGGGAAGTGCGAAGTTATTCACCAAGGTAGGAAAAACAGAAAAGCAGATTATTTTCTAGAAGTGGAGAGACTAGACAGTGAAAGTGTTCAGAGGGATTTGGGAGTCCTTGTACAACAGTCACAAAAAGTTAGCATGCAGGTACAGCAAGCAACTAGGAAGGCTAATGGCATGTTGGCGGTTATTGCAAAAGGGTTAGAATATAAAAGTAGGGAAGTCTTGCTGCATAGGGCCTTGGTGAGACTGCACCTAGAATATTGTGTGCAGTTTTGGTCTCCTTATTTAAGAAAGGGCATACTCGCCTTTTTATTCACAATATATAGAATGAGGGGGTGCAGCGTAGATTCACTAGGTTAGTTTCTGGGATGAGGGGTTGACCTATGAGGAAAGGTTGAGTAAACTAGGCCTATATTCTCTAGAATATCGAAGAAATAGGGGTGATCTTATAGAAACATATAAGATTCTTATGGGGCTTGACAGAATAGACAGTACGAGACTATCTCCCTTGGTAGGAGAATCTAGAACTAGGGGTCACAGTCTTAAGATTAAATCACAGCCTTTTCGAACAGAGTTGAGGAAACACTTCTTCACTCAGAGGGTAGTGAATTTATGGAATTCTCTACCCCAGAAGGCTGTAGATGCACAGTCCTTGAACATAATTGAGATTAATAGATTACTAAAGGATAGAGGGATTAAGGGATACGGGGATAAGGCGGGCAGGTGGAGTTAGCTTAGAAGATCAGACATAATCTTTTTGAATGGCAGGGCAGGCTCGAGGGGTTGAATGGCCTACTCCTGCTCCTAATTCCTATGTTCCTATAAGTGCAATTTCCAGCAGGACTCATTGGATAGTGATCAAGAACAGGATTTCTGACTGGTACTTTTCTCCTCTCTTAACTGGCCATCAGTGGTGCCCACACCACTCTTCTTGCTGACGTTGAGGTCACTCATTTCAGATCAGACACACGATTTGGGATTTTCTTGGCCATTATGAATAAGTCTCCCCAC